GTTTAGGGTCCCGTCGGTCTGCCTGGTGATTTTCATGTCCATAAATGCTATGCTGCCTTCTGTTTCTAACTCATAAGTGAATTTTATGTTGCCCGTGTCGTCAATATTGTTTAAGTGTTGTGTTAGTGTTTCTGTTTGACATTTTGGTATGATTTCCAGTATGTCGTCTACGTAGCAATAGAGATAAGGAGACGTGGATGTGGGACCATGAACAGGGACGACGGAGTTTACACGCTGGACCACGCATGGGACTGCATCGTCGGAGAGGGGAGAGCGGGCAGTAGAGGGCGACAACGTCCTCTGCTGCCCGCAGATAAACGGAGAAGGAAGTGACGCGCCACCATCAGCGTCAGCCTGAAGAAGCCGGCAGCTGTCGGCGAAACCGTAGCTACAAACAGGTAAACAAAACTGTTTCTGTGTTTAAAAAAGAACGAAAGCATGAATTCTGTTTTTTTTTTGGGGGGGGGGGGGGGGGGGGGTCACAATACGAAATATGGCAAATAACATGTTTAAAGTTATGATTACTTTAATGTTTACCTTAATGATTACCTTAATGCCCAACAATGTCAAAAGACAGTTTGAATAGGTCATTAATGATTTCAAGTCAAATCATAACTAAGGTAAACATTCTTGGACATTGTAAGGTAATCTGATGAGTGTTCAGCCCATACATCCTGGAGCTTCTCCCATAAAACAGATTGGCTTCATGGAGTCTTTCTTGGTTACACTTTGTCAAGCAGCTTCAAGAAATTGTGCTGGCTATTTCATTAGAGTCAGAATTCTGGCAAATTCTTTACATTGCTGTCACACTTTAGAAAGGATTTTGTTATAGGATGAAAATGGACAGTGTTAAGTGTAAATGGTGTTCTTTTGTTATGAAAGCTTTTAATTCCTACTTGCTGAGACTCAAACTGCAGGCATAGTGGGGAGGGGAGGCAGCTCAAGCGGCGTTGCACTTACGATTCACCCTTTCACTGAAACGCACATGGATCTGATCAACAAACTTCTGCCGAGGCTTTGGAGGACCAAAAGTACCTCTCTTCATCCAGTCAAACAGCGATGCCCACAGAATACACAAAAATGTCTACATTCAGTATGGAAATTCACAGAAGCAGGGGAAAAAACAGACCAAGGAGACATCTCATTTATCTAGATTCACACAGCAGCTGAAATGAAAACATCCATTATGTGGTGAGTTGTGGAGAGTCTTCTCTACATCCTGCCACAAATCCTGGAGTGATGAGAGATCACTTATGTCCATAAATTAGGCAGAAGGATCTACAGGTAGTCATTACTCTAGGAACAACTGTTTCACACATACCTTCTGCCTTCCTAAAACCCCCAGGCAGCTAACAACACTGCCCAACCCAACCACTCCAACTGGGACGTCTACACTCTGGACCAGAAGTTCACTGTCAACGCCTGACAAACATACATCTGCACATCTGTAAATACCCATGATATAAATGTAGAAAGAGATATCTGCCTTGACATCTTGATCCTCTTTTCTTACTGGCGTAGTGTTTGATATAGAGATTGTTGTTCAGAAAAACCTGATTGGACCCAATAAAACAAAAAAATTCATAAGATAACATCGCTGCAATTTTTGCAATTTTTGTCTGCAGAACTAAGACAAAAATAATTGTGTGGAGAATTGTGCGGTAGTTCAGGCCTAGAAAGAAAAATATATGTATGAGAAGAGCAATTACCCTTTGACCAGTTGAAATTCAGTCGGCAGGGTAAGATCCAGCACAAACACAGCAAAGTCTTCTAAACTACACAAAGTTTCTCGTCTTTCTCAGCTGAGAAACTCATCTAATCAAATGTTAGATAATTGGTTCAAGGAGCAAATAAAGAACTGCCCTTGGGTCTTTGGATCTGAGTTAATTTCAGCGTGCTGCTGTGGGGTCTTTAGAAAGCTCATTTGCCCATTATAACAATCACATCAAAATCACACTTTTGTTCAAGAAGCTCAAATCTTTTCCTTAGAGTTCTGCTTCATTGTCTCGCCCCTGCTGTTTCTGTCTGCCTGCCCATCACAGCAAGTCATTGTTGCTCATTGGCTCCTTCCCATCAATACGTAAAGGTTAAGTTCAATCTCAGCTGAGTGAAAGCTTCACAAACAACCAGACAAAAGGAACTCTTTATGAAGAAGCACATCATCTCACAATAGACCTTTAAACCCCCCTGTTGGGTTGAAATCGGACCGTTTTAGAAGTTTCCTCTCTGCACATGAGGTTTGTCATTTTATCCGATTGGCATGAGGTCCCACTGCTTTGTCTGCTAAATGAATGCGAACCATCACAATAAAGGCAATTTTGAATGGCTTTTGGATGTTTGGTGTTTTTGAACAAACAAACAAAATAATAAATAGATCAAATGAATTTGTGTGATAACTGAATTGAGCAAATGGGCAAAAGTAATTTCCCACAGCCTCAGGCACATTTGTTTTTGAGAGGACACAGACACATGCATGCACACAGTGTTGTGTCTGAACGATAGTTCGTGAACTTGTTCGTTTATTTATTTATTTTTTGTGAAAGTTGAACTGAACTCGCTAGTATTTTGCCCGCTGAACGTTCAAGTGAGCCGGTTTGTTCTAGTGTATGTGAATGGGTTTATGAACAACGCTGTCTTGTCGTGCATGAGCTCCAGATCCCCATGGAGCTAGAGCCCTAGTCAAAATACCCTGTTAATCATAAACTGTATAAGCATAGGTAGAAGCGGTCGGTCCGGTGTCTACTTTTTAATTTAGATGCTCTGGAAGACGATAGTCATGGTGTGTTCCATTTACCTCGGAAAACACGCAACTGCACATAATATCAATGTTAGATGCACCCTCACAGGTTTATCTTCTATAATAAGCATGTTTTGACCACAGCTACTATTGTTATTACAGGAAGCTGCTGTATTGAACCTCAAAATGGATTATGTAAAAACATTTTCTGACTACAGGCGGTGTTCCAGTTCATTATTTCCATACACGGAAAGTTGGAAGTTGCGAGTATGAAAGTAATTGTAATGAACTTGGGTAAGTATCACATCTGAAACATTAAATAGTAAATGGTCTGTATTTGTATAGCACCTTATTAGGGTTCTACAACCCCCCAAGGTGCTTCACAACACTATCAGTAATCTACCCATTCACATACACATTCACACGCTGGTGGGGATAAGCTACGATGAAGCCACAGCTGCTCTGGGGCACACTGACAGAGGAGAGGCCTGCCAAACACTGGCACCATTGGTCCATCCGACCACCCTCAGCAGGAAAGGTGGGTTAGGTGTCTTGCCCAAGGACACAAAAGCAGCATTCTCTGGTCAGAGCTGCAATCAAACATGCAACCTTCCAATTACTGGACAACCCACTCTACCTACTGAGATACTGCTGTCCCTAGTCACAGAGTCACACCAGTAAATTTTTACTATTCATGAATTAGCTTATTTTTTTTACAAAATGTTGATTCACAACCCCCTATCATTAATGCTGTGTATGTTTATACATACAAACTACTGTTGTTTATGGTAAATGGCCTGCATCTGATATATCGCATTATAGAGTCTTCGAACCCCTCAAGGCACTTCACAACACAATCAGCCATTCACTCATTCACACACACATTCACACGCTGGTGGGAATGAACCACGATGTAGCCAAAGCTGCTCTGGGGCACACTGACAAAGTGTCTTGTCTTTTCCTTTCCTTTTTCCTATATATATATATGTGTGTGTGTGTGTGTGTGTGTGTGTGTGTGTGTGTGTGTGTGTGTGTGTGTGTGTGTGTGTGTGTGTTTGTGTGAAAAAAACAATGAAATAGTTTGTTTTTGGAATTGTGAACTTAGTTTGAAAAATGAATTATGAACTTTGAACACAACTAGTTCCTTTGAAAATGTACAAACTGAATTTTGAACTAGTTCATTTTTTTTTAAATTCCCAACACTGCACGCACGCACACACATTCTTGTTTTACTGGTAATTGAAAGGACTTTCTCTCACTTTCCTTCATTTTAGGGACTCCTATGTACCCAAAGCATTACCAGTCTTACTCTAATCCTGACATGAACTAAAACGTAGCTCACACAGTACTTTTAAACCAACCAGTGCAGCTCAAGAACATAGCAAGTGAGGACTCTGCAAAATGTCCTCACTTTACAGGTAAAAAAATGTGTCTTGGGTCCATGATGTGTAACATAAACCAGTAAACACACACACACACATACACATTTACACACACTTCATGCCCCTTTTTTCTTCAATGGGGATCGGGAATGGGATGAGTTCCATCTCTGGAACTACTTAAAACCACCAAATAGTTCCTGAGCACGGCAGTGTCAGCAGCTCACCGCTCCCCAAGGAGATGGGTCAAATGCTAAGGACAATTTCCATCACTCACCAGTGTGTGTGACAACTATGGGACGTTAACTACACCTGTTGGTATTTTCACAATCACAACATCGTTTCAGTCATATGCTAAACTTTTCTTGCAGCTCAACACCTTCTTTATAAACCATCTTCTGCTGGACTTGATTCCAGATTTGATGGTCAGAACCATCTCCACCAAGCAGAGACAATTAGCTTGCATTGATCAAGGTCTCGCTTCATCAAATATGAAACAAAACATATTAAAGTGGTTTCCCTTTCAACTATAAACCTACTGCCAAACTATGGATGACTGAGAACTGAGAAAGCTGTTCGGTTTAGCATCTTTAGTACTAAATTTCAGGGGTGTGACATTGTGGCATCATCAAGTTATCGCCATGTCATGCTTTTGTTCTGCTCAGCAACTGAACCAGGTTAATTCACTGTGCTGATTGAAATCACCTGGTTTAATTACAGAGCAGAACAAAAACATGACATGGAGATGACTTGGTGATGCCACAATGTCACCCCTCTGCTAAATTTATTGTTTTAATCATGCGCATTAAGGATATGTTTCCAACTGCTCCTGGTGCCATGCTGCTCTCTACATCTGACTGATGAATAAACAATAGACAAGAAAGAAGAATCTAAAATATTTATTGTCTTTGTTACAAGAAGAGGGATGACATTTGCTTGCAGAGAGATGGAATCATTGGAGATGGTGTTGAGGCACATTTCCATCATACTCGAAACTAAACACAAGAGGTAAATGTTTCACATCACTCAAGCTATTGTGATTGTAACATTGTTTTGCACACAGTTTTTGTTATATTTATACATGAGTGCACTCTGTAAGATTTGCATTGTTATGTAAGTCGAAATATAAAAATAGATCTGGGACGTTTGCTTAGAAAATGTTTATCCTCACTCCTCTGACAATGATGCCTTCGCAGCATTCTTTTATTTAAAACTTTATTGTTCTGCCCCTAAATTCAATCAGCTATTTAGTTTTTTATTTGCAAGATATGTTCTGAGGATGAAATCATGCAAGTCCTGTAGAAACTGGAGCATTAGATGCACCACAGTAAACAAAACTTTTTTCTATGACACAAGTTCTGTTACAAGTTTTATTTAAATAACTTCCATAAATGCTGATATGTGACAACATTAATCAAAATTAGAGTGAAGAGAAATTGTACAAAAACACAACAATATGTTTTAAAAACACATACTTTATCTCTAGACATAATATTTGGTAATGTGCCAAAATAAGCATGCTGTATCTCCTGTACATAAATATTTACAATCATTTGACATTATTGCAAAGACTTCACTATGAGCAATGCGTGATGTTTTTATTGTTTCCAGTTTCACAAATTCAACCACATTTTTAATATTATCAAGCTATCACTGATAACTTTAGTAATCTGGATCAAACAAATCCATTCAGAAAGGTCAGGCGCTGCAAAATGTAATGTTTTTTTTTTTCCTTTTGGTACATTTTTCTTTCTTCGTCAATATTTCAAAGTCATTCAAAGCAGAAGCTCTTTGGAATGTTCCCAAATAATTAGAACAGAATATTTTAACTGATTTTCTAACTAAAGAAATGTTTTCTAACCAAAAATACAAACTCTACATTCACCTGCTTGAGTGTTTAGAAATCAGTGAAATTGCTGTCCTTGCAATGAAACAAGACATGCAAAATGTAGCTTTACAGTTTTGTGTCTCATCACTTAACGTGATAAATGCCCATCTCACTCTGCTGTCCTCACCACCCTCGTCTGGCCCTTTCTTCCTCCACCTTCCCCTCTGTCTCTGTGATGTCTCCTGTTTCTGCTCTTTTTCATTTCCTGCATGTGTTTCCACTTGCTGATGCCCAAACCTCTCCCCCTCACCCTTGATGACCTCTTATCCAGCCACAGTGAATCACAGTACTCTTCAAGAGAGTGGAAGGGAGAGCGCATTGCTGTTAGGTAGTGTTTGTAGCGCTGATGTGTCTCTGCTGCGTTGCGTGACTCCACAACTGCGTCCTCTTTAACTTTGGGGTTTTTGTCCAATTGTCCATGTGTGATAAGCTGTAGCTTGAGATGGAGGAGAGTGTAGGTGAAGTGTGAGTGCTCCTGTGCTACACAGACATATAAACCGACATCGGAAGGTTGAAGGTAGCGAATCAGGAGACCTCGGTCTGTGTGGACAACACGTTCATCCAGTTTTACCTGGGAAGCAAAAGAAAAATACTTTAGAGGTTACAGTTTTCTCCTGTTATGACCTTAGACAGATCACCAGTCCATCTCAAACATTGCAGGTATTTTTGATGTTAACCTAAGTACCTGAGTATATATACTTTATTACTAAAGTACAATCAATTTAAACTGAAACTAAGCAAACACCTGGAATGGATGCTAAACGTCTCCGGAAATCTGCACCCACAAGAGCATCAAATGACTACAAATTTGACATAATACGTCTAAAGATATACTTGTAGAAACAGCGTGAACTACCACACTGTGAACTGACGTTGCTGTCATTAAAGGTCCTATATCATGCAACATCCACTTTTGGAGCTTTTGACCATGTTTTATTTTTATTTCCTCATGAAACCTAAAGGAAGAAATACAGTCCCACCTGAATTTGACTATTTTTAGATACTGAATTTATGAAATTAAAATTGTATTCTGTGAAATTTTGTATTTGAAAATTTAAATGTAAAATACACCAGGAAAAATAAGTATGTAAACATTAAACAGCAGTTTTTTGTCTTCTAAAGTTAAACAACAGAATTTCTATGTTAAATCTTATCAGCAGAATTTTAACAGCAAACATTCAACAACAAATGAGTAGAACTCCTTGTGATCCAAGCAAACGCAATCACTCGAGTCAATGCCTCACTGATCTCACATGATCACAAAAGCGTCATTTGACTGGCTAAAAGCCACTTGACTCAAATGAGTGACAATTACTTTGGCTATAGCCAACAGGTCAGCTCAGTTGTTTGTAAACATCAACAACAACATTCAACAACAGGTCAGTTGTTGAATGGTGGATGTTGAATTTTTGCTGTTGAATGAAAATTGAAAAATTAAAAATCAAGCAAGGTCATTTTGGCTAAATAGCTTGTGATGTGACCTCTCCAAATTAAAATTATTGCTGTTATTGAACCCTCTGCAGTATAAATGCAATGTTTGGTCTCTTTGTAAAGGTAATACTCTCTAGTTTCACCCATAATACTCAGAACCACTGTATGTATCACTGATAAAAAGTTATGTATCTTAGAACTCAGAAAAAATAACTGTTTTTGTTTTCGCCAAAATGTTATTGTAAAAATAAAGGTGCCTATGCAGTAGGTAGTTGGGGACAGAAACACATATGTCCCAATAGTGTAACTTGTTGACTACTCACATTTCAAATTTCAAAAGGATATCTGTAAGAATACGCTTTTTACACCAGTTTTTGTGTGGGTATGCCCAGGCGCTTTTTAAAGGGACCTTTGTTTTATCCAAACCTATCCAGCTTGGACACATTAGGGAACGTATGGAAAAAAGTTCTATAACCTTTGAATGTTTCAACCTACAGGTATCAATGAAAGCTCTACTGAAGCTTACATTTAGGGGAATCTGTATCTACACACAATGTCACTCCATCAATCATGAAAAATGCATCTTGAATAATCATATCAATACCTTTTATATGCTTTAATATATATAATGTGTCCCTGGGCACATCGAGTTGGGTGAGCTGAGTTTTCCCAACAGCGTAGGAAGTTCAGAGGTCATGATTTGATGCAGAGAGCTCTTTGTTGCATAACGAGTGTTTGTGCTTGCGGGAAAACATATGCTTCTATCTTCAAGATGTAAAGGTAGGAACAGCGTGCTGATGGTACTCTTTTCATGTAGCATCTGACATAACTCATCAGGTGTTACTGCTGCTGTCAGGACCTGAAACAACACAGCTGGTGTACGGGGCTTCTTCAAAAGCATACTTCCCACAGCTCTGCTCTGAACAACCCCCACCCCCATTGGTGCAACTGATAATAAGGGCAGAACTTTGCTGTAAACTTAACAAAAAAGGCTTAGTTGTGCCTTTTCTTGCTTGTGTTAATGTGTGTAGAAGTCAGAGATGGTGTTTTGGTCAGATACTGGTGTGGCAGATGAAGACTTCTGTCTACTCATCCTTTCACACACTTGTTTCTTGATGCAGCCACCTGAAAAGTCCATGAAATATACAAGAAAACATTAATGCCTGACTCAAGCAACGCTGCCTGTTTTAAACATTTCACTATGTTTGTTTGTGTTCTTGTAAAGCTGCTCCCCAGCTATTCAAAATCAAGGCATCTGTGACTAAACAGAAAAGCCAGACATTTAAACTCATCCAGATGGCCTGTCTTTGTTTGTGTTGAGAGTGTGCATGCGTGTGTTTGTATTTTGGCGTGCGACTAAGCTAGCAACCTGCAAAGGACCAAAATCCATCAATCAAAGTGACATTTATTGCTGCCAGCATACAGGTGCTGGCCAGTAAATTAGAATATCATCAAAAGGTTGAAAATATTTCAGTAATTCCATTCAAAACGTGAAACTTGTACATTATATTCATGCAATGCACACAGACCAATGTATTTCCGATGTTTATTACGTTTAATTTTGATATTTATAGGTGACAACCAATGAAAACATCAAATCTGGTATCTCAGAAAATTAGAATATTCTAAAGGCCAATGAAAAAATGTTTGTTTCTCTAATGTTGGCCAACTGAAAAGAATGAACATGAAAAGAATGTGCATGTATAGCACTCAATACTTAGTCGGGACTCCTTTTGCCTCAATAACTGCAGTAATGCGGCGTGGCATGGACTCGATCAGTCTGTGGCACTGCTCAGGTGTTATGAGAGCCCAGGTTGCTCTGATAGTCGTCTTCAGCTCCTCTGCATTGTTGGGTCTAGCGTATTGCATCCTCCGCTTCACAATACCCCATAGATTTTCTATGGGGTTAAGGTCAGGCGAGTTTGCTGGCCAATCAAGGACAGGGATACCATGGTCCTTGAACCAGGTGCTGGTGGTTTTGGCACTGTGTGCAGGTGCCAAGTCCTGTTGAAAGGTGAAGTCTGCATCCCCATAAAGTTGGTCAGCAGCAGGAAGCATGAAGTGCTCTAAAACTTCCTGGTAGACGGCTGCATTGACCCTGGACCTCAGGAAACAGAGTGGGCCAACACCGGCAGATGACATGGCACCCCACACCATCACTGACGGTGGAAACTTTACACTGGACCTCATGCAACGTGGATTCTGTGCTTCTCCGCTCTTCCTCCAGACTCTGGGTCCTTGATTTCCAAAGGAAATGCAGAACTTGCTTTCATCAGAAAACATAACTTTGGACCACTCAGCATCAGTCCAGTCCTTTTTGTCCTTGGCCCAGGCGAGACGCTTCTTGCGCTGTTTCTTGTTCAAGAGTGGCTTGACACACGGAATGCGACACCTGAATCCCATGTCTTTCATGAGTCTCCTCGTGGTGGTTCTTGAAGCGCTGACTCCAGCTGCAGTCCACTCTTTGTGGATCTCCCCCACATTTTTGAATGGGTTTGTCGTCACAATTCTCTGCAGGGTGCGGTTATCCCTAGAGCTTGTACACTTTTTCCTACCACATTTTTTCCGTCCCTTCGCCTGTCTGTTAATGTGCTTGGACACAGAGCTCTGCGAACAGCCAGCTTCTTTAGCAATCACCTTTTGTGTCTTGCCCTCCTTGTGCAAGGTGTCAATGATTGTCTTTTGGACAGCTGTTAAGTCAGAAGTCTTCCCCATGATTGTGGTGCCTTCAAAACAAGACTGAGGGACCTTTTAAAGGCCTTTGCAGGTGTTTTGAGTAAATCAGCTGATTAGAGTGGCAGCAGGTGTCTTCTATATTCAGCCTTTTCAGAATATTCTAATTTTTTGAGATACCAAATTTGGAGTTTTCATTAGTTGTCACTTATGAATATCAAATTTAAATGTAATGAACATTGGAAATACATTGGTCTGTGTGCATTGCATGAATATAATGTACAAGTTTCACGTTTTGAATGGAATTACTGAAATATTTTCAACCTTTTGATGATATTCTAATTTACTGGCCAGCACCTGTATATGAGGATAATCAAACTTAAAAAATGAGATGTTGTTGAATATTTTCTCTTGTTTACCTTCTAGTCATTATTTAAGTATTAGATTAATGTGCAATGCTTTTTGGACAATTGGGCATTGATGTAATCGACACCTTAAATTCGTCATTGTCCATGCCATTCCTATTAGTAATTCCCTAATGGGCTGGAGGTCTGTGCTTCAGATCGATCGTGAGAAAGACATTTGTTCCAGCTAACGTCTTTATTAGCTGACTTTTACTAGCAGAATAAGAGGAGGGTGTGATTGAGTAGAGTGAATGTTTGGTCTGCAGGTGCTTTGAACAGCTGGTGGAAGATGACTTTATTAAAGTCTTAAACTCAGCAGGAAAACACAGCGGGAACCGGTGGAAACAACATGAAAGGTATGAAGAAACGAAGCGAGCAAACTCAGAAGCACGAGGCCAGGAAGTCAGAAAGGATAAGGGAGGGACTGTTAGTTAAAGAGGGTTAAGAAGATGGACGGAGGGGGATGGGGTGACGGGGGGAAAAACGGAGTGTGAGAGATGGATAGGACTGAAAACATCACCTGTTACACACAGTGAGGGAAGGTGTACAGACAAAGGAGTACTATTATTACTATTACTATTATTAATAATAGATATCTATTAATAATAATAATAATAATAATAATCATCATCATCATCATCATCGTCGTCGTCTTCCTCCGCTTATCCGGGTCCGGGTCGCGGGGGCAGCATCCCAACTAGGGAGCTCCAGACCGTCCTCTCCCCGGCCACCTCCACCAGCTCCTCCGGCAGGACCCCAAGGCGTTCCCGGACCAGATTGGAGATGTAATCTCTCCAGCGTGTCCTGGGTCGACCCGGGGGCCTCCTGCCGGCAGGACATGCCAGAAACACCTCCCCAGGGAGGCGTCCAGGAGGCATCCTGACCAGATGCCCAAACCACCTCAACTGGATCCTTTCGATCCGGAGGAGCAGCGGTTCTACTCCACGTCCCTGCCAAATGTTCGATCTCCTCACCCTATCTCTAAGGCTGAGCCCGGCCACCCTACGGAGGAACCACATTTCGGCCGCTTGTATCCGCGATCTCGTTCTTTCGGTCATTACCCAAAGCTCATGACCATAGGTGAGGATTGGGACGTAGATCGACCGGTAAATCGAGAGCCTGGCTTTCTGGCTCAGCTCCCTCTTCACCACGACAGATCAGCTCAGCGTCCGCATCACTGAGACGCCGAACCAATCCGCCTGTCGATCTCCCGATCCCTCCTACCCTCACTCGTGAACAAGACCCCGAGATACTTAAACTCCTCCACTTGAGGTAGGACCTCTCCCCCGACCCGGAGTTGGCAAGCCACCTTTTCCCGGTTGAGAACCATGGTCTCAGATTTGGAGGTGCTGATCCGCATCCCAGCCGCTTCACACTCGGCCGCAAACCTACCCAGCAAGAGCTGAATGTCTGTGCTGGATGAAGCTAGGAGGACCGCATCATCTACAAAAAGCAGAGACAAGATTCTCCTGCCACCAAACTCGACACACTCCACACCACGGCTGCACCTAGAAATTCTGTCCATAAAGGTTATGAACATAATAATAATAATAATAATAATGATTATTATTATTATTATTGTTGTTGTTGTTGTTATTGTTGTTGTTGTTGTTGTTGTTGTTATTATTATTACTATTATTACTATTATTATTATTATTATTATTATTATTATTATTATTAAGCCACATAATCAAATGAGTGTAAGAAGAGAAGCCCATGTTGAAAATGTGAAACTCAAACATTTTTGGGGAAGAACAGATCCCTTCTCTATGTTTTAATTCACCAGCAGCATTGCTTTAGCTATTCAAAGTGCATTTCCTACTTTTTTAGTTTTAGCAAAATACCTGAAACTGTTTTAGAAAAAAGTGACTGAGCATTGTAAACTCGTTTTCATTTTATTAAAAAAAAGATTGTAAAAAAAATTTCACTTTAATCAAATGTTAGATACATTTAAATAGTGTTCATTACACATACAGTCAAAGTCTATACGTAAATGTGCTTTTTTTATTTTTATCTGCTATTTTGTAAAGTGCTCATAGCTCATAATGTTTATGTTTGTTGATCATTAGTTTTCTAGTATTTACAGTTTAATTAGTTTTAACTTTCCAGTGATTGAACCCCTCAGCTACTCTCACCTGGCCCTCATCTGGTAATCAGCTCACCTGTTTGTAATCAGTAATCACCCTCCCAAGTACTTAGACTCCTGGTTTCCCTTCACTTACTCTCTGTTTCACCTGTTTAACATCATGTGTTCTGTTCTGCATTTGATTACTCTTTAAGTTTATGGTCTTTCATTGCCTTTTTGTTTTAACCCATCTTTGGACTTTAACTCATTCACTGCCAGATGTTTCCTGATCAGTAAAGCCCTTTGCTGCCAGCAATTTTAAAAATTTGGATTTAAAATCACGACTTTTGTCGTCAATGGCAGTGAATGAGTTAATAAATTGTTTTTTAAGCATGTTCATTGCGTCTTTGTTCAGTGTTTATGGCGCATGTGTTCATTACATTCGTGTCAATTAACTCATTCACTTCCAGACGTTTCCCGATCAGTAAAGCCCTTTGCTGCCAACAATTTTCAAAGTTTGGATTTAAAATCACGACTTTTGTCGTCAATGGCAGTGAATGAGTTAATGAATTAATAATCTCCAGTATTACTTTTAAAGTATACCATACTGCACTGTTTTTTTTATGTAGCACATTTAAACACAGCAAGTGAGCTGACCAAAGTGCTACACAGGCAACAATCATAAAATAATTATTTAAAACAATAAAAAATAGTCAATGAATACTGACTGAAAACAGCCTAAAAGCATTTTTAAAAGAAGGGAGAAAAAAACAAACTTAGAAAGGAGTCATTGTCCTAAAGCCAAAGCATAGGAGTGGGTCTTGAATCTCACTTGTAAACAGAGAGCAATTTGTTGTTCTTTCAGAATTAAGGCGCTAAATTTACGAAAGAAAGGTGTTTGCTGGTGTCTTTGAGTCTCAGGGTGTTTCTCAATGCCAAGGAACCTTGCATTGATGTCTTGGCCCCGCCCCAGTTGTCTAGGAGATAAGTCATCGAGAGCCTCCAAGACGTATTCCAATGTTCATATTCTACCGAGGCGTGTGTTCTCCGTTTGTTAGCCGTTTAGCTAGCTGAGTGAGGATACACGGGAGTTGTCTTGTAGCCTAGCCTTGGTCAAAAATTACCCAGAATACACTGCAGTATTTTCAAAAGGATGGCGGATCAGAAGCCGGCAGCTACTTCAGGGACAATTTTTCTAATTTAAAAGTAAGAAAAATAATTTAAAATGTTTTTTATAGATCCAAAGAAGTTATCTGTTGTTGGTTAGTTGGTTAGTAATTGCAGCTTGAGGAATACAAATACTTTGGAGTTCACCTGGACAACAGACTGGACTGGAGAAAGAACAGCGAAGCCGTTTACAAGAAGGGACACAGCAGACTGCACTTCTTGAGGAAGTGTCTGTAGCAAGATGCTGCAGATCTTCTACAAGTCTGTTGTTGAGAGTGTAATCTCTTCAGCCATCATCTGTTGGGGTAGTAGCATCAGAAACAGGGACCTGAAGAGGCTCAACAGCCAAATAAAGGCTGGTTCTGTTCTGGGGACGACTGTGGAACCACTGGAGGAGATAATGCAAAGAAGAATTCTCCAGAGAATCAAGAAAATGATGGACAACCCTGACCATTCTCTTCACAAGACTGTCCGACAACGGAAGAGTGTCTTCAGTCAGAGGCTTCTTCAGTTTGGCTGCAACACTGACCGCTACTGGAGATCCTTCCTGCCAACAGCCATTGTAATATTCAATAACTCTTTAATGACTTTATTATTATTATTATTATGAGCAACTACAGCAATCAATTTCCCTCTGGGATTAATAAAGTAATTTTGAATTTAATTGAATTGAAAGCTGCGGTCACGTGATGCAAGTCTGTTCCATTTAACCATTTTCTTTGACCAAGGAAGGACAGTGTCCTGGTAAACAAGGCACCTGGCCTCGCAAGATATCACCTCGCAAGGCATTGAGATACACCCTCTGTGTTTTGTACTGAAAGAAATTAAACTAAAAAATGCATACATATATGCATATTATTGATTTGTGTGTTTTCACAAATAAAATCCCATAGAAACAGTCGTCATCCTTCTTTCAGGAAGTAAGATCTCTTCAGATTTGTTTATTTTTATTGCCATCATTTAATCATTCAATGGATTAAAGCTTTCACACTTTATTTTTGTGTACAAACGGTCACATATCACTGAGCCCAGACACAAAGCAAAAAAAGCATCCCACTGTGTCCATTACTCCAAAAAAATGGCCATTCCTGTGGGATGCAGTGTTGTGATTTCTGTCCGAAGGGGGATTGCAAACAGAAAGCCATCACACAAAAACACAGAGCTTTTTGTAGTGAGTCTGTTAATGAACACAGGGGGTGTTTAGTGGCCTCTGCACCTGTTGGTGTTTACACTCGCTCCAGGTCAGAGGAAGGAACTCGGTGTCGGCAGCCAGGAGTGACAAGTAGGAGCACATGGAGTGTGGAGGCTGGTGGAGGGTTATTCACCGTGGGAACAGCATAGTACATATATTTTTAAATGTGTTTTATTATATTTTAATGCATCTTTCTTTGGTCATTTTATTCCAGTTAAGTCATTTAATTTTCAGATAAGTCTTTCTCACCTGTTTCCTTGTTAAAACGTTTATACATTTACTAAATGAAAAGGTTATCTTTAATGTTGAGTAAACAAAATCCCCTCCGGGACCAATTCTGCCCCAACATAATCACTTTTATATGTCTGGTTTAGTCATTCCCTACCTCCCTCAAAGACAAGAGAGCTGCTTAAATTTGCAGAAAGTCGTGAACTCCCAAAAACATCGACAACACGGGGAGTCGTAAGATTTGTAGCTGATCTCAGGGCCAAGGAGGCTGAAACTGTGTGTGGTATTTTTGGCATGTTGGTGTTCTTATGTAAGAAATAATTGTTTTGGCTCTGTAGCTTTTGGGTCTGTCAGACTGAGAGAAAAATCTTAAGGTAGATCCAAAGCAAAGCAGAAATAACGTTAACCTTCAGGCAATAAACAAAAGACTGGGTAAAACCTTGAGAGAGAAAGAGAGAGAGAGAGAGAGAGAGAGAGAGAGAGAGAGAGAGAGAGAGAGAGAGAGAGAGAGAGAGAGAGAGAGAGAGAGAGAGAGAGAGAGAGAGAGAGAGAGAGAGAGAGAGAGAGAGAGAGAGAGAGAGAGAGAGAGAGAGAGAGAGAGAGAGAGAGAGAGAGAGAGAGAGAGAGAGAGAGAGAGAGAGAGAGAGAGAGAGAGAGTGGGTGGGTGGGTGGGTGTGTGTGGGTGGGTGGGTGGGTGTGTGTGTGTGTGTGTGTGTGTGTGTGTGTGTGTGTGTGTGTGTGTGTGTGTGTGTGTGTGTGTGTGTAAAGGGATTGGCAGCACTGACCTCGTCCCTATGTTCAGATCCAGGATTTTGGACGTACCATCGGATTTGGGCTTGTGGAGATTTGGGGACACATTCAAGGAAGGTGGAGTTGTTCTGAACTCCGAAGAGAACCTTCTCCTCCACTTGACCTCCACCAAGACCTGAAGGAAACACGAATAATCTGATCTGTGGTTCTAGCAAAGGTATTTTCAGCAGTTTCCGCACGCGGCTCGCTCCACAGTGAGACAGACAGAAGATCAACGTTTTAAACGGCATGTAGTCCACCTACTGTTTTCTGTCCCCCAGCACAGAATAGCAGGATCACCTCGTTTAATGTCCTGTCTTCTGGCTCGCCTGTAACACACACACACACACACACACACACACACACACACACACACACACACACACACACACACACACACACACACACACACACACACACACACACACACACACACACACACCAGAAATCAGACATATGCATGGTTTTCATTATCACACTTGCTGATAATCACATAATCATTTTAATTGATCAGCTGTTCCTTACCCAGTTAATTCTTTATCAAACATGAGGAGTTTTGTGTGTTTTTGACATTGATGCACTAAGATGTGTCCAACATGATTGTGACTTCCATTTAATGTTGGGCTGAGGAAAGGGTTAATCTAAGTCGATCACAAAATATCATATTTCCTCAATGAAAGCTAATCTGAAAACAACCCTTTTTTGTTAATAAAAGTTTTTGGTATCATGTTTTTGTTGGTCTGATTTGCATCACATTTTTGTTTTTTTTTTTAATCCTTGTTTTATCACCAGTTAATTGAAACATGAATCACATATAGTTATTAGCTTATTTTTTACACATTAGTAATTTCCAAAGGTTTTATTGTACACTTATTTCAACCAAAAATACAGTAAAGTATATTTTTTATAAATATTAAGTATCTTGAGTTTTTGTCCATAATTGTTAAACTTGTAAGTTGCATTTTTAAGACATCCTATTAAATGGACATCTACTCTTTTCTTGTGTCCTTTTAGACAAAAGATTTTCCTAAATATTTTTTACATTTAACTATTCTAAAATGAAATTCTTGTATTACTAAAATGCCACAGAGGACATGAACTGAGAAGAAGACAACAGATGCATGTTTATGTGACCCTCTCTGTGGTGTTACTGACTCCATTTCCTTTTTAGTTTGTATTGATTTCTTCCTCCACTTCCTTTTGGTTTGGTGTGATAGGACATCTGTAGCGCACATTCACAGAAGATCTCCTTTCAAAGAGCGCAGCAGACCTAAAGCAGGGCCTCTGATAACATCCAAACAAAAACAACACCCCCACTGTCTAATAGTATGGCAGTTTGACCTATTGCTGTAGGGTACTGATGCTGTAGATACAAGGGTGAAAGCAAAGAGACCTAAATCATGAAAAGAAACAGCACACACAGCTTTTAAACCCCCAGGGCAACACACTGGAGGTGTCTGAACAACAGCTGGACTAATCGAGCAAGTAATCTTTGTTGTTTATGAGAAACTGAGTGTTGCGGTGTGAGGCGTATGCTGCTCAGCGCTGATTGGCTTAGTCAGAATTCTGAGGGGGTGGGGTTATTTCAATCGGAGCGTTACCAGGACCTTTGCTTCCCATAAGGAAGCAATGGGATGGCTGGCCAGGATACCTTCAGGTGTCTTTTAGCAAACTCCATGCGTGCACTGAGAGGCCTCCAACGGGTCACTCTGCCATAAAGGCTGTGATGGTTGACTTTTTACGACTTTCTCCCATCTCCTGACTGCATCTCTGGAGCTCAGCCACAGCGATATTTGGGTTCTTCTTCACCTCTCTCACCAGCTGAGTTTAGCCCGACGACCTGCTCTGGGGAACGTTATGGGGTCTCATTTATCAAACATTGTGTAGAATCCTTACTAAAACCGTACTTAAGCTCAGCAAAAATAATTTACTTACGCCAAGTAGGTTTGTGATCTATCAAACATGGAGTACGCACAGCTGCACGCAGTCTCTGCTTCATAAATCAGAAACTATCTAGAAAGGTTCTCAGCTGCTTGTTAGTCACATCCCGCTCTCAACACGCCCACTTTCTGCCATAAATGGTCAATGCAAAGTGCCTCATGCATATGCATAAGCCGGCTTGTTGCAGCATTTCGCTCGAGACCGTAGATCAAGGAAGCGCTATTTCACAAGCAGAAATTGATGTACTTGTGGATGAGGTGGAGAAATGAAAGGAAGTGCTTTTGCAAAACAAATAAGAGAAAATCCATGGAGTGGTGCAGCGTTGCTGAAGTCGTCAATGCTGAGTTCTTCAGAGAGATCTGTGGTGGATGTAAAAAAGGTGGTCCGATTGGGAGTCGATCCCCAGAATCCCGGATGAAAGTCACGCACGCTAACCAGTCACCCAAACAGAGATCTCCCTTGACCAATTAGCCAGGTTGCATGGTCAATCGGGTCAGAGTGACAGAACGCTCACACTGTCACAGACACATGACATTCTGTCTCAATCTGTCCCCCTGCTGATATTCTGTGTGTGTGTGTGTGGGGGGGGGGGGTTGTGTGTGAAAATGAAGCAGTACAAGTGATAATGCTGCTGAAATTCAAAATTTTATCCTTCTCAGCAGCAGCACTGCAGGTGCTCTCCATGTCCAAAATGTGCGTAAGCCAGATCCTTAGTCAACTGAAAGTTGTGCACATTTCTCTGCTAAGTTTTCTTTCATAACTCACAAAATTTGCGTGGAAAGTTGCTTACGCAGTTTTCCGGCCCCGATTTGTGCGTAAGCAAGCTTGATAAAAGAGGCCCCAGGTCATTCCAAACATCTTCTATTTAAGAAATATGGAGGCCACTGTGCTCTTAGGAACCTTAAATGCAGCAGAGATTATGTTGTAACCCTGGCCAGATCTGTGCCTTGCTACAATACTGTATCTGAGCTCTTCAGGCAGTTCCTTTGACCTCACGATACTCACTTCTGACATGCATTGTGAGCTGTAAGGTCAAATAGACAGGTGTGTGGCTTTCCTAATCAGGTCCAATCAGTATAATCAAACAGTTGGACACAAAGGAAGGTGTAGGGCCCTCTCAAGGATGATCAGAAGAAACAGAAGACACCTGAGTTAAATATATGTCACAGCAAAGGCTCTGAATACTTAGGACCATGTGATATTTCAGTAGTTTTTTTTTTTAATAACTGCATACATTTCTAAAATTCAGTGTTTTTCTGTCAATATGAGGTGCTGTGTGTACATGAGGAAAATTAATTTCATTGATTTTAGCAAATGGCTGCAAAATAACAAAGAGCGAAAAATTGATGGGGGTCTGAATACTTTCTGTACCCACTGTGTGATACAAATTCAAGTATTGTATGGGCTTCTGTGTGTGTTTTCCTCTTGAGGTGATGAAGTGGGTTTTATACAGTAGATCATTTAAAAATGGGGGGGAGGGGCTCTAAAAGCAGTTCATTTATGACCAACCTCTTAGAGGCAGGGATGTATCGTGAGCATGTGTGTCCATCCCAGCCACAGTATGGATCGCGGGCCAGACAGCATTCAGCACAGGCTTGACCGTGCAGGTGACATCTGCTGAGAGAGACCTGAGCTAATCCTTCTCTGGATCCCACATACAGCTGCTGCTATGGTAACAAACAACAATACTTTAGATTAGGAAGTATATCTGTTATTAAAGGACATTAGGGTGATCAGAACCATAACATGGGCACACATTACATTTCTACCATTTAGTTACTTTCATAAAATGGCATAAATAACACTTTCTTCAATTACTGATTCTTAAAATTACTTTCTTTAAAGCTACAGAAAAAAGGTGGAAATTAAAGCCATTTCTGGCTCATAATGGTTTGTTCCAAGTGTCGAAACATCACCATGATTCTGTTTCACAGGCTTCCTGATTTGTTGAATATTGTATATTGCAACTTAGATGACCTGGTCTGACTAGTCTGTAAACACCAAGAAGCAGACAAGAAGGACATGCAAGTCGAACAATGCTGGAGCTTAATGGGAGCTGTGATTGGGGCTGAAGTGTCTACTGACACCCATGACCTCAAGTTAATGAGACGGAAAGGCAAGAGAATGAGGACAGCTAAAGATGAGGAGTGAATCTGAGCACGTGTGTGAGCAAAGGTTTAATAAATCAGGATGTCTTGTGACACATCAGGCAAGCGTCACAAGACAAGCTGTATGAGGGGAAAGAAACTCAGATTTTGTGCAGACACAACCAATCACAGGAACAATAAGAGCAGAGAGAACAAACCTGTTTGGAAGAAATCTCCAGAGTGAGGATAGGGGAAGAAACCTGTCAACAAGTGAAATGTCTGGATTATTATTTGAAGTAAAACAACTAAATAATGCAAACTTTGCATCAAAAAAGCATGATGAGTATTTTACGGTTTGATGAGTCAGCTACCCCACCAAGAGCCACAGAATTTAATCTACTGGGAAGCAGAATAACTGTGTGTATTGTGTGTCCGGTTGTGTTGAGATGATCACCTGGAAAACCTGAAGCTCCTCCAGAATTACTTCCTCTGTGGACCAGTTCTCTTGAGTGATGCTCACCACCTTCAGAACTGAGCCAGCATCTGCAGCAGAAACACAAATGAACAAATATTTTCACTAAATGTGAATCTGCAAACACCTAAAGAGCTTTTAAAGTTCAAATCCATTTCCATGACCAACAACAATCATTTAAAGCCTCTTTCAGAATACGGGTGACTCTACTGCCCTCTAGTGTTCAAGAAGAAGACTTCAAGTTAAATGAGTACTGAGAAGTGTCCTACCTGTCCCCAGAAACATAACCTCATATTGTCCATCATCTGCCATTACTTTGTCCACCACAATGTGGGTCAGGGTATAATCCACTCTGACGCGTGTGAAGACGGGACGGCCAGTCAGGGGGTGCACAGAGCGGTGCATCAGAGGGTGGAATCGAATGAAGCTGATGACATCGTCTGGGAAGTCTTTGGTGGACGTGATTCTTGGATCATAAGTTTTACTGGGGCACTAAGAAACAAGAATTTCTTGTAATGGTATGTAGGTTAGGTTCTATAATTTCAGCAGCTCATCTCTTGACTTTATAATCTGACAGGTATGTGGCTCCTTCTTGTGGTAAAAGTATGAATTGCAGGCAGCAAAGAAAATGTGAACCATGTGTGTTACTCCTGCACCTCCTACTTTCTGTGTTTATAATAAGTCAAAGTAAAGAGTCACTCAGCTGTCCACCTGAGATTTATACAGAGCCAAGTCTTCAATGCATTCTCTTAGCTGGCTTGATTGAAGTTTTTCAAACAAATTCAACAAGAATCTGATTAACATGGCATGCAACCACTTTAAAGCTACGATTAGGTCATCTGTAATGAGGCTGCATGTGCAGATGATAGCATACCCCGCAGCTTCTTCAGCATTCCTTTCTTTAATCCTCCACTTTTCTATGAAGCATGTTTATTATTTTACAATTTGGAAGAAAGTTGTGTATTTTTTTCCTAATTTCTCTAAACATAATTTGCAGCTATAGGTAAAATGCAGGGCTATTATATGTTATGTGTTCTCCATGAAGTTCTCCCCACCGTTCCAGGGCGAGGATAAGGTATTCTTCCATCATATTCGACCCATCTGTGGTCAGGCCCCTCTTTGTGAGCGTAGGGTCCATTAAACACAGCCCTAATGTCTGCCATGCTGTAGACACACACTGCTGAGCCACGGAAAATGGAGCTTGAAGGAGGGCAAAAACAACAAATCTAGTTAAGTTAAGGGGTAAAGAGGGAGCCCACAGTTGGTGAGATGAAAACAGAATTACCTGGAAGTTGTGAAGACTGCATACACAACAGGGTTTTTGTCATCTGTGGTAGGGAGCAGGAAGATGTCCTCTATAACAATGAAATGGGGAAATGTAAAGGTTAATTTACTAACTGTTCTTCATGAATCCAAGACCGAATCCTGGAATTGTTGCTCTAATGCAAGTCAGTCCTCTGATAAATTGCTCACACAACTGAAAGATAAAAGCCTGCTTGTTGGCGTAAATCTCTTTTTAATCTCACACACACTTACGGAGCTCGTCAAAGTGCGTGTTCACACCATCTGGTCCGGGAATAGAACACACTAGCCTGGCTTTGAGGAAGGTTGTCCATTTATTGGTCAGACTCCTGCGTCCACCAACATCATTCTGAAACACATGCACACAGTCAGAAACCGCCATAGCCATGAGACTATCTATAACAGTTTGTCCATATCTAGTTCATTTATTGAACTTGTGCATGAGAAGACAACAAACACGACTGCAGCTGATGGGTTCAAACACGTCTATGATCTGCCAAAATAGAGGTCATAGAACAATCAATAGAACACGTCTTGTCAAAAATGCAGAGTAGACCAGGGGTGTTTCCTAATGCCAAGGAGCCTTGCCTTGATGTCTTGGTCCTACCCCGGTTGCCTAGGAGATCCGTCATCAAGAACAGCCAAGGCGTGTTCCAATGTTCATGTTCTACTGAGGCATCTGTTCCCCGTTTGTTAGCCGTTTAGCTAGCTGAGCAAGGATACATGGGAGGTGTCTTGTAGCCTAGCCTTGGTCAAAAATTTCCCCGAATACACCGCAGTATTTTCAAAAGGATGGCGGACCAGAAGCCGGCAGCGACTTCGGGGGCAATTTTCAAGTTTAAATGTAAGTCAACTAATTGTAGCTATCAGGCTGATATCTGAAATGTTTCTTTGTAGATCCACAGAAGTTATGCATGGTTGGTTAGTTGCTTAGTAGTTGCTGTTTCAGTGGCTAGCAGGTAGTAACTCGCATACATTTTTTTAACCAATATATACACACTTTTAAAAGTTAAAGTCTCGTTATATATTTTTATTGAAACTTATACGTATGAAATATAATGTTATCTCCAGTGTCAAGTCACTCTACATGACCACTGCAGAAGCCATGGTCACGTGACACAAGTTTGTTTCATTTAACTATTTTCTATGACCAAGGAAGGACAGTGTCCTTGTAATCAAAGCGCCAGGTGCCTTGACATTGAGAAAGATTCTATGTTTCTGACCAGGCTGTTTTAGATGTGACACGTCTAAAGCCTGATCACTGCAACGTGTTCATGTTAAAATGTGCTCTGTTAACAAAACTCTTCTTGAAGAAGGGAATTTACTTTACATTTACTTTAAATTACCAGCTGTGGCAAAATGTTAGCCTTATTTTCAGTTAGCATACCTAATGGTACAAGAGCTAACTTGCAGTTTCCTTATGCTACTATGATTGTTAGCGTTGCAAGATCTGCTGTTGCTATGAACAGTGCTACATTCTTTTCAATTTATGTTTCTTGTGAACATTTCTGATGCTGTTAAATATTTCTGATGGGTTGATGCTGCAAATGCATTAGCTAATGTCACACAGTCATATTCTGAACAATATCTGCAAGTAATTAGAATTTAATGTGGGAGTATGATGTACATCCTCAGGTCGCGGGTGTCAGACATCAAACCATAGAGGAAAAAACTTCAGGTTCCGTTCAAAAACCCATCAGATGTCTGACTAAATGGCATCAGACAAAAATGTCTCAGAAAAAGTTTGTCCGACAAAAATGTCTCAGGAAAAAGTGTCAGAAAGTCTTTTGCCTTTGACAGTTTTCCCTGAGACCTTTTTGTCTGACACTTTTTCCTAAGATCTTTTTTTTTCCTGACATACATTTTCCTGAGACCTTTTAGTCTGTCAAAGTATTTCCTGAGACCTTGAGATAGTTATTTCTGATACTTTTTTCTTTGATAGATTTTTTTTCTTGAGACCTTTTTGTCTAAGACCTTTCAGTTTGACAGATTTTGTTTCCTGAGACCTTTTTGGTCTGATGCTGTTTAATTAGAAGTCTGATGGGTTTTGAATGAAACCTGATACGTTTTTTTATCGTTTGATGCCTGACACAGAGACCTGAAGATGTCATGAAATGCAAACCATATGGGAAGAATATGCTACCATAGAAAAACAGCAGCATTGTTGCATTGTTGTGTGACTTGCTAAATATTGAATACAAGGAGAAAGAGAGAAGTAAAGAAGACTGAATTGTAATTGGGGTTTCGTAGAAAAACTGTAGTGAGTCTCCTAAAATGCAGGAATGGTTCAAAATAGAACAGGAAAAACAATAAGAACAATGGTGCTGCTTGTTTAAGTGATATTTTATGCGTACCAATCTCTGTTTTACTTTAAACTATGAACTGCCAATTTAAATTTGAGATCTTTGACTGAACCCTTTAAAGAGAGTTCAAGTAGTGCTTTGCAGCACCCTCTTGTTAAACTTAGCCAATTTGCTATCTGAGTGAAGAGCATTGGGGGTCAACAAACTCAAAAGCCTGCTTAAGTGTTTCAGAGACCCCTACGAAGATGTAAGCACTTACAAATGAAGCTTCAAATGATGCCAATCTTCCAAGAGAACCAGTCTTAAGAGTGCTCAGCTAATTCTTCTCACAAGAGAGGAAAAAACACTCAGCAATAACAAAAGTGATGAAAAAATACAAAGTGCAGGAGAGAAAGAGATGATTGCAAGAAAGGAGAAAAAGCAGGGTTTTAATTAAGAGGAGCCCGCTTTACGGCTTACTCTGAAGTTATAAACATGCTGAAATGGTTTCTTTTAGAATTTAGTGACAGATCTCTGAATGCTAGCAGCAATCCGCTGTGTTAGTTGGTTCCATTCAGAGTGTCTAACAGCACAGTGTGTGGTTTAGTACATAAATATGTAAGTTAATTTTATTCATATAGCACTTATCACAGACATAGAATGACAAAGTGCTTCACATAAATTAAAACAAAATAAAACAAAGTCATACAATCATAATGATCTCAAAACAGAGATAGATTAACATCAGAAAACAATTAAGTTATAGTTTACTGAGGAGCCAGATTAGAAATATCTGCTTATAGTTATTTCGACAAGCTGACAAATAGAATTAGTCAGAAACTTAAATATTAAAGTTATTGAAACCCGTTTATAACCATCTCGAAAAAAAGGAATTATCTAAATATTTCAAGTGAATTTGAGGTTAGCAAATGTGGAAATGATACTTTAGATTATGACCTTTTCACTTTTGCCCCATAGGAGCCGAAAGCCTCAGCAGCTTTGGCCATCTGTCTTAATGTGAGGTAACTTCTTATGTCGACCCGATTCTGATTATATGATACTGTTTCAAAGTAAAAATGTTGATGAAACTTGAAATGTGTGACAACAAAACACTATTTGATGACATCTAGAAGAAATCGTACACTGATTCTTAAAAAAAAAGGGGGGGGGGGGGGGGGATTGTGACATAGAAGAAGTGTGTGTACATGTGCCTTTGAGCAAACTCTGTATAGGCCAGAAAAGGTTAATTCTATTAGTATGGCCTCACTACGGAACAACAAACACCTTTGCAGAGGCTAGCACAAAGATCTTTATCTGATTAGACCCTTACAGCACCCCCCTCATGTAATGGAAGACGTGTTGCACTCTACATGTCTGCTATACCTATATTAAATCATACATCCTGGGTTTTAGCTACCATCCATCACTTTCCTCTCCCTCCATTTGTAGCCTCTACCTCTTGTGCCTCTGCGTGCCTCCCACTGTCCACACCATTCTTGTGTAATATCTCACCTTGCACACACGAGCCACTCGGGAGAGGATGCTCTTGTCGTTGCCCTCCCACGACGCCTCGTGGAAGAAAAGGTATATCTTATCATCATCTGGATTGTACGTGTCGGCGATGGGGTGAGCAGAAATGAACTTGGCCTCTAAGGAAACAAAAGAGGAGTATTTGGAACAATTCAGTAATGGTTTCACTATGAACCAGAATCTAACGGGGGCTTTAACACAATAGCAAACTGTATTTACTAGGTGTAGGTAATTATTGCTTCTTTTCACAAAATCAAAAAAAAAAATTATATGATTTTAAACCAGTCTGGCTGCATGAACAATGCTTAAATATCTGAAAGGATTTGAAGGATCTGTGATTTTGATTATGATTGCAAGTGATTCAATTTTACTATAACAAAGAAATAAAACCTAGAATGTGTAGGTTTTGAAATGACATTTGTAAATAGTAAGCTGAACAAGTCTTCTTGTAGCTCACTGAAAGTAAAAAGTCTGTGTACATTTGCTGTACCGTAAGCCATGCTAGGCCAGCCTGTTTTAGTTAACTTTAAAGGTGTGGTCCACACATTTATTTAATTTATTTGCAGTGGTCTCTGGTTGGAACAAATGCCGCATAGTTGTACCCTGGGGAAACAAAATTCAGATGCACCGTAAACAGGAAGTATAAGTCAGCAGGAGGAAAAAGTAACTTCAGACGACAGGATTTGGAGTCTTATGTCCTGATATTTGGACGGACATCTTGCCTTTGACTGGCTAACAGCATCACAACTCTAACACTGACTCTGTTTGTTTTGCAACATTGATGTTTTATCATCACAAATATCACAAGCCTGAAGGAGTTCTGCCATGTGATGGAGTTGCTAATGCTAACAGTTAGCTTTTACTAGCTGAAACGGTATCTGCTGTTTCCTGAATGATAAAACAACAGCCTTCCCTGTCGTGAGTCAAGGTGAGTGAGTCTATGAGTTAAAAGTGACAGTGTGACGTAGATCTGTCAGGCGACGGTGGCACAGGAGTTAAGCGCTCGCCCCGTAATCGGAAGGTTGCAGGTTCGAGTCCCGCTCAGTCTGTCGCTGTCGTTGTGTCCTTGGGCAAGACACTTAACCCACAATGCCTGCTGGTGGTGGTCGGAGGGACTGGTGGCGCCAGTGCTCGGCAGCCTCGCCTCTGTCAGTGCGCCCCAGGGCAGCTGTGGCTACATTGTAGCTCATCCCCACCAGTGTGTGAATGTGTGTGTGAATGGGTGAATGACTGATTGTGTTGTAAAGCGCCTTGGGGGGTTCCAGGACTCTAGAAGGTGCTATATCAAATACAGGCCATTTTTACCATTTTCAAATCATAGTTTCACCGTCTATTTTCTATCAGAAGCTAATGCAGGAGATAGGTGTAGGAGACTATTTTCATGTTCAGTCGGCATGAAAACCTCAGAGTGGCCGATTATAATCAGAAATAATGATGGTTTTTCAGTGTTCCACACCTTTAACAAAACTCCAGCTTCCAAAGAAAAAGAGTGGCCGCTTCCATCTGCATTGATTATTAAACCTGATTTGCTAGGTAATTTAGAATAGAATTTTATTTTCATATCTTACTCTAATATCTGATTCCCTACAAACATTGAACATCCTGTAGAAACCTTTGACTTCAGTATTCCTGCAACATAAAGACAAATGTCTTTTTGATTCATGTAAAACATTGTTGCATGGCCACAATCTACAGTATGAGAGAAAAAAGGTTGTTTAACAAATGCATTGGAAACAGTTTAAATTGTGGCAATTTGGTATAATTTTTAAGAAATAAACAATATTACTTTTCTCAAAATAACAATTATCACTAACATGGGGTAAACACAACCAAAAGAATACGGCAATAAAGAAGAAAAGAACAAAAAACTTTTCCAACTGTGTCTTGATTCAGAAGGGAACCAATCCAAATACTCTAAAGTTGCTGTGACATTACATCAACATTAGCTCAACCTCCAAAAGCCCAGCCAAGAAACCAGAGGGTTATTCCCCAACTGGAACAGCTTAATAAACTACCGCTAACACACTCGACTGAAGGTCATTGTTAGTCATGCAGCTCAAAAGACGTTCCACAGGCTCGCAGGAAAAGAGACCCAGAGGGGAATGATGCGTCGTCTGCCTGCCCTACACCAACACACAGTGTTTACACTTACTGAGACAGAGACAGACAAAATTACTCCAAACATCTTTGACCATGTAGTTGTGAAATGTGAAGACCATGTGCAAGGATTTAGATCTTGGAGACAACTGTTGATACTCAGCAGCCTGTCAGCGGCTGTAAAACACTCCACTGAAGATGCATGCATAGAGAAGGCTCCCCACTCAGTTATGACTCTGCATGCTTGTGTGTGTGTGTGCGTGTGTGTGCGTGTGCAAGTGCGTGCGTGCGTGTGTGTGTGTGTGTGTGTGTGTGTGTGTGTGTGTGTGTGTGTGTGTGTGTGTGTGTGTGTGTGTGTGTTGGTACGGGTGAACTATGAGGACATTTTACCTGAATACACACCACGCTAAAGGAACATTTTGGATTGTGAGGACAGGGTCGATGTCCTCACAATTCTCGAGCTAAAAAAATGATTGGAATGGGTTTAGGGTGTTCCCATCAGCTCAAATATGCAAAAAAAAAAAGGTGTCCCCATAATTCACTTTAACTTGACTTTTGTGTGTGTCGTGTGTATCGTCTAGCGCTCGCAGTGGTCATTATGGGTACTGCACCAGCTCATTAATATTCACACATTGTGTATCGTTAGAGGCTTTTGATTGGCTGACAGGTTAGGTCCCCAGAGTGATGAGTTTTTTCAGACTACGTGACATCAGAAAAACAGATTGACTGTCACTTTTTAAGATGTAAATCTTTTTTAATTGATTAACCCTTCACTTAAAGTGTAACATATTTCTAACTTGTTATTTGAAATTCCATTTTGCAAATAGAATGATGATGAATATTAATCCAGTCTCTAAAAGACCTGTATGAAAATGATCGGTGTCCTCATCTGACTGGAAATCCCCAACATAGATTTAAAACTTTAATGACTTCTAAATACAAGGTCAAAACAAAACCTAACTGACTTCATGTGATCATTTGTTGAAATCACTTTAGCTGAACCTCCTTAGAGAGTGATCTGATAAACCACATACATTATATTTGTCACCCTAAGAAAAGCTGAGTGGGATTATACTGGATTTTATAACAGTGCCTCCTAGATACATTAAAACTGTGATAACTTCTATAAACAATGTTAAAATTCAACCAAACTTGCTTTGTGTCATCACACAACAGCAGTTAAAACATTCACATGTTCATTTCTGTCGCAATTTTAGCACCTCCCCACTTAAATATGCTTTGCTCCAAATAACATACACAAAATTATTTTAATTAGAAACAAACTGCTAATAAATCTACTTTGTCAATTTAAATAAAATAAAGATCAATTCGATTTTAACTGGATAAATTGCATTTCTTACAGAGATACTGTTTGAATGCTGATTACAGCATGTTTTGGTTAAGGCACTGGGAAGCTGCAAGAAGAAAAATGTTAAGTGTCTGTGGACCCTAACTTCAAAGATATCAAGAACAAAAATCCTAGCCTGTCACATTTTGCGGGTGGAGATGGTGGACCATGTGTGGTGGTGGGTTCCGGAGGCAGAAGAGCAGGCACGGATAACGTAAAAACGAATTTAATTACTGAACGGGAACAGCAGGAACAAACACAAAGGTGACAACAAACGACAACAATGATCTGACACAGGACATACGAGACGGGAGGTATAAATACACTGGGGAAAATCAGGAACACCTGGGCATGTTAACAAGGGCAGGTGAAACCAATAAACAAGTAATCAGGGCAGGAGAGGAACACAGTCAGGAAGGCAGGGGCAGATCGTGACATAGCCGGCTTTTTCCTGAATGAACTGAATTCTTTGAAACCCATTAGCATAAATTGTGGGAGGAACTACAGCACAAAACATATGGGTGAGTCTTGAATTATTATCATTATCATTATCATTATTATTATTATTATTATTATTATTATAAACAGTGCCTCTTTTAATTTCCCTGATGCAATTTCAGATTATCACCTAATTTTATGTGCTTTGTGGATGACTAAGGAGCTTTGAAAGAAAAGCATCTGGACTTCTGTTGCTTGAAGACGTTTCACCTCTCATCCGAGAGGTTTTGTCAGTTCTAAGGTCAAATGGTGGAGAGTCCCAGATTCAAACCCAGTGGGAGTTTCACCCCGAAAAGGGAACAAAAGACCCCCTGATGATCTTCTACAAAAACACATGAGCCAAGGTGAGAGGGTGGGTGTGGGTCCTATTTAGCCAGAGTTTCAGGTGAGCTCATTGTGAAGCCTGGCCCCACCCTATCATGTGAATTCCTGAGATCAGATGGCCCAGGATATGCGTGGGCGTTGAGGCATCTGGAAAGGGATCTCAAAACTGGATTATAGATGGCAGACAGTTGGTGTTGTAAACCACCGCCTCTGTTCAAAGATGGTTGCTCACAGTGGACATAAATGGCTTCCTTTACCCCTGTTTCAAACCATCTGTCCTCTCTGTCCAAAATGTGAACGTTGACATCCTCAAAAGAGTGACCTTTGTCCTTTAGATGCAAATGAACTGCTGAGTCCTGTCCCGTGGAGGTGGCTCTTCTATGTTGTGCCATGCACTTGTGAAGTGGCTGTTTGGTTTCTCCGATGTAGAGGTCTGGGCATTCCTTGCTGCACTGTACAGCATACACCACATTGTTCAGTTTGTGTTTAGGAGTTTTGTCTTTCGGGTGAACCAGTTTCTGTCTGAGTGTGTTGCTGGGTCTGACGTACACTGGTATGTTGTGTTTGGAGAAAACCCTCCTGAGTTTCTCTGATACACCGGCTACATAGGGGATGACAAGGTTGTTGCGTCTGTCTTTCTTATCCTCCCTCGCTGGTGTCTGGTCTTCTTTTCTGTGAATCTTTGCTGACTTTATAAACGCCCAATTAGGATAGCCACATGTTTTAAGTGATTTTTTTTATATGTGTGTGTTCCTTCTTTTTCCCTTCCGGCTTAGAGGGAACACGTTCTGCCCGGTGGATGACTGTTCAACAGACATGATGAATTGATAATAATTGATAATGTTCCCCCTG